TAGCTTCCAACTTAAACATATTATCATTGCTGTTTTTAAATTTTGATATAACCGTTCGTGGATCCGCGCAACTTACCCATGCAACATATAGAATGCAGTAAGCAATACAATATAAAAGATTAATGTTCTCATTAAAAGAGCAACGTACAAATAAGATTACATAGGAAGAATGTAAACATGAAAAACTAAAATGCAGCTAGGGTGTTCCATTCGTGGATCCGATCATGATATAGCGCATCCCAACCCTCTACGCTCGCTGTGCGAATGTTGTACCACCGAGGTATAATCGGTGGCACTGGAAAATCGGATGACATGTCTAGTCGGATGAAATGTCTGTATGACGACCCAAGAAACGCAATAGCTAGCTCTCTGACCGGTGTGGTGACAGTCTCACGCGACCGCCAATGGACCGTGGTACAAGGATAATAAGCTTGACTATGCACTCTCAGGCCGAAATGCATGACTGCGCATTCGTAAATGTTTGCAACGGCAAACAGATCTAGGGGCGCGTCAAAATAATGATTTTGGCCGCAAGGTCCACCTCCCCACCGGATACGCCGCAGAGCGCCATCCAAGTCATCCTGGTACACATGACGATAAACATTTTGGTTAGAGGCAATTTCGCTTTACATCAACTGACGCACCAAACCGTAGTTGTCTTCGCCCATTTGAAAAACATCAGCCACGACCCGGAATCCGCAGTTACCATCTCCGACTACATCATTCCACCCTTCCAAGTACGGCATGATGATCGCAGGTATCCTTTCCTTGTACGGAAACTGATCAACATCGTTTCTTCCTATTCACCATATAATTATAGACAGTTAAGAAGGCAGGAGTAACACTTTAAAACTATGTGCAATGTAAACAACCAAAACGTACCAGTTCTCAGGGGCATATTCACAGACGATGAAGATTGACTACGACTAGATGACGATGTCCGACCACGAGCACGACCACGACCAAGACCACGGATATACTCAAACGCACTCCTGTTCCGCCGTTGTCGACCTCGAGGACGGTCAACTCCTTCGGGTTCCTCATAATCTAAGGTAGACGTGTGGAACATGTCATGAAGTACATGAGTAGCGTCACGAATAATAGAAGGATGGCTGGAGGACACTCGGTCGTACATCGAACGAAACTGCTGGATGAACATTAGGCCCGATGTAGTTTCTCAGCTTCTCCAACACCCAATAATAACTTGGAGCCGTCTCATCCTTGATGATTGCATGACCAATCAGAAAGTTCTGGTTCGTTGGAGTCATCCCCATGATCTCAACCAGTGGGAACTTGTACTTGTTTGTCTTGTACGTTGAGTCGATCAAAATCACAAATGGCCAAGACTTGATCATATCAGCACAATCAGGATGCACAAGGAAAAGATGAGTCACCTCCGTTGTATCTTCATCAGAATCAAACCAGAACAGGTAACCACGTGATTGTGCCTGGTGTAGCAGCTGCTGTATAGGGTTCCTTCCCTCTGACTGTTCAAACCTGAGTTGATGTCTGACGTTGTAGATGTGTCTTCGGTTTGGATGGTCTTCTGGAATTTTCTCTAACACAGATGCTAATATTTTAGCAGGCTTGACTTGAGCATCACTCATTTCTTTCACAACTACTTTTGCAGCAGGACTTAAGCCGCTCAGCTGTCGATGACCCTCTTCATATACTATCATCTCATGGTTGTGATACCCCCATTTAGAGTAACCAATCACTTCCCAACCGTCACGACTCCGTAGTTGTCGAACCTTTACTCTGAACTCACACCCACAACCTTTCCGCTTTGTATCAAACCGAGTGGCTGTACGAAAATCTCTGTCTTCTCTTTTGCGATAACGGTCACATCTCAAAATGCGATCCATTCTACCATCCCGTTGAGATTTATGAGTTACTACTACCAAGCAAAATCCAGCCTCAATTGCAACCTGTTTTGCCCAATCAATCGCCTGTTGAGCTTCTTCGAATGGACCATCATGTCCAAATATCCCACTGTAATCATTTCCGTCTCCACCATAATCCTGCATCAATTATATATTACAATAAATACATTTAACGGATAATACATTTAATTTCAATATTTACACAGAATTAACACAAAAAAAAGCATAATTATGTATAATCAAACTTAATTTTTATAAAAACCCAATTCGAATTTTCAAACTAAATTTAAAAATATACCATTTCGAATTTTCAAACTTAATTTTAAAAAAACCTATTTCGAATTTTCAAAATTAATTTAAAAAAACCCATTTCGAATTTTTTAAAAAAATCATTTCCGATTTTTTTTTTAAAAAATAAATAAATAAAAAACAACAACAAAATCAAAAAAGAAAAAAAAAATTAATTTATAAGGGTGGCGTCTGCCAGGGCTGCCACAGCCACTGGACTGGCGCCTGGCAGGGCCGCCTCAGCCAGTAGAGTGGCGCCTGGCCAGGACGCCAGTCTGGTGGTCTGGGCGTCTGGGCTGGACGCCACTCTGGTGGTTCTGGCGTCTGGCTTGGACGTCCAGGCTACGGTTTGGGCGTCCATCCTAGGCGCCAGAGCCACTCCGACGGTAAACCGTGAATTTTAACGGTGACTTACCTCGTTTTCCGTCGACGACGACGTACCTCCGGCGTCCCCCGCATCTCCGGCCTACCCTCCGGTCTCCCCCGGCGAGCCAGTACGGCTCCACATTTTTTAAACCGAGATTATTTCAATTTTAGAAAATGTGCATAATGGTCACACCAAGTCATATTTGTGGGTTTTATATGGTAATTTGCGGGCGATGTTTAGCGATTCACGAAAATTAACGTATGATAATAGACATAAATTAACGTTTGATCAATTAATCATAATCCAACCTCATTTTCCAATAGCTTGTGGATAAGATCCTCTATTTTCATTTTTATGTGAATTATGTCTCGTCATTTTATATAAGTCACATCATCCACACTTACCAATAACTAAATGATTGATGTTAAGTAATTCAATTGATAACATACAAAGAGTAAAAATAAAATAAAAAATATGATCCCAATTTCCAACCCAATACTTTAGATAACTCCAAATATTATGTGATCCCCTTCCATCTAACAAGTCCGACATCTATTTTAAACAAAGCAAGGACTTGCTTCTTTGCTAATTAAGGAATTTTTTATTGTTTAGCAACTTAATAGTTGCTAGTGCTTTTAAATTTTGAGAAGGAAAAATCATACACGAATGAAGATTAGCAACTTGACAATTGTTACTTTGGGAAGAAAAAATACAAAAATGTTAAGATTATCTTCTTGCAAAATTAAAATTTACACTGCAATACCTTTCCACGTTGTGTTCATCATTTTATGTCATTCACTTACCTTTTAAAGATCAAAATTACAATTTGTTTAGATTTCAATCTGTAACCTCAAATTTCAATACTAGAAACTTATCTAATGGGCTATATCACATATCACATAATGTGTTGCATTTACAAAATTATGACCAATATCATAAAGAAAAACATGTTTTGTTAAAAGAATTTTGTCATAATTTCATGCATTAAATTAAGGAAAAAGACCCCTCAAAAACAAAAAAAAAAAAAAAAAAAAAAAAAAAAAAGATATATGCAGCCCTAAAGGCTGCATACAAGAAGCTAAAAGTGGAAAGAATAGGCAATAAATAAACATTTATTACACGGATTTACTCGTGAATTGTCGATAAATCTCCAACTTAATACTAAAATAAGAAGGATATTAAATGCTTATATGCAACCCTAGCTAAGGGTTGCATATAACATTATCTTAAATTAAATTAAAATATAGTACCATATTGTTGTTTATGCTAACTCGGGACATTATTCGACTTAAATACTAGCTATTAATGAACTAATAATTAGCATTGAAAGGATATCAACTAGTGGTTCTTATCCTCTTTTTGCCCAGCTATTCTATATGGAGACTTCTTGATATGAATTTTGATGGATATAACCTTCAATCCCACTTGAAAGGTTTGAAATCTTGAGTCTCGGTCAAGAAACGCTAAGCAACACGAGCTTAAAACCTAAACTAGGCCAAGAATACACAAGCACAAGCTTACGTAAAACTTTATAAATTTCAAATCAATCAATCATACTTTTCGTTAAACACCATCACGTATTTATAAGCTAAATAATTAGCCTAACAATCGGTAAAACAAATTCTAATCTAACTAGGAAACTAACTCTAACTTGTAAAGATAATATTTTGCAAATATGATCTTTAAAGTTAAGCTTATCTTATACTAACCGAATTAAACTAACAAAAATATCCTAATAAATTCGGTCATCTAATAATAAACTAAAAATAACAATAAAAATAATTATAATAACAATATTGATGCCTTGGAACCGCATCACTTCTAGTTTCAAAATTTATGTTAAATAGACTTATAAATTTCCCTAACCCCTGTGGTTTGTAACCTTCATTAAGTTTTCTTAACTAACTAAATAAGTTTACCTCAATTTTCTTATCCCAAAAGCTTTTGTTCAAATTATTCCTCCTTCACCCTCTAATCTCTCTTTCAATACCTTAAAAAGCGCCTATATACATATATGACTCAATGACTCATTATTATCTTATGTTTGGTCTAAATATTTAGTAATACCATCCAACTTCAACAATTTAGGTTGTGGAATTTAATCTTCATAATTAGACATGAGAAAGAATCCAACTTAATATATAATCTAAAGTATGGAAGAAGTCGTCGTTATACTTTGCACTATAATTAAAATAATTCGCTCAAATCAAACAAGCAAAACCTCAACAAGATCCAAGAAACATCAAACAATAATCCCAACTAATAGAAGATCACAAAGTACATTTCATCAATGATTACCAACCATAAACAAAGAATTAGTGGGCAAAAGGTTATATTAGTGGTCAAGCTATTACCAAAATAAGGTTAGCCTAATCTTAAAGAAGAAGAAGGAAGGGAGATTAACCATATCTTACGAATCAAATTATGCCTCGTAGTGGGGTTCATGTGGCCTCCCATACTCCCAATCTGCGTGTGCACATTTCTCTCCTTCTAAAATTAAAAAATAATTTATAATTTTTAAAAATAATTTAAAAACACCCTCCTATTTTAAGGAGTCTGAGACATATTTATTACCTTCTCAACAACAACTAACCCCACCAAACACCCCCTTTTATTTCCCCCCCCCATAAACCTTCTTCTTCTAAATCTCACTACATTACCCAAAACCTCTTCCTTTTTCTCCCACCATTTCTTCCTTTGCTCCCTTAACCCAAACCCATTCATAACCCGACCCGAACCCACCCACAAACCCGACCCGTTTTATCAATGGCTATGGACTTCATAAGTGGGCCCACCGCCGCTACAACCACCGTCACTCCTCGCACCCCTGACTCCGACACCGATACTCCTCCGCACCCTCCGCCAGCTAAGAGGGCCCACCACCACCACCACCATAGCTACAACATCAACCACGACAACAACATCAACAACAACAACAACAACAACGAAAACGAGCAACAGCAACAACAACAACAGCACGTGTCATACAAGGAGTGCTTGAAGAACCACGCGGCGAGCATAGGAGGTCACGCGCTAGACGGTTGCTGCGAGTTCATGCCTGGACCCACCGCTAACCCTGTGGACCCCACTTCACTCACCTGCGCAGCGTGTGGCTGTCATCGCAACTTCCACCGCCGTGACCCCGACGACCCAACCCCACTCCACCACCTCATTCCTCCCTCCGCGGCGGCGCGTCGTCCTCACTCGCCTCCCTCCGCGTCTCAGCTTCTCCTCTCCTTAAGCGGCCACACTCACAGCCCTTCCGATCACGAAATGGTCCACAATTCAACCGCCTCCGCTGCTGCCCCCGGAATAGGGGTCGTGACAGGGTTTTACTCCAACAATGGCGGTAGCGGTGGTGGAGGGCAGAATGGTAATTTCCAGAGCAAGAAGCGGTTTCGGACCAAGTTTAGTCAAGAGCAAAAGGAGAAAATGTACGAATTCTCGGAGAAAATAGGGTGGAGATTGAAAAAAGGGGAAGAAAGATTAGTACAAGAGTTTTGTAAAGAAGTTGGTGTTGATAGAAGTGTTTTTAAAGTCTGGATGCATAACAATAAACATTCCGGCTCCGCTTCGGGTGCTGCTGCTGGTATTGTTTCGGGTTCGGGTTCGGCTCTAGCTTTACCATCTTCATCTTCGGCCTCGCCGCAGCGAAGAGACAAATCTGGTATAAACATCGCTGATAATACCAGTAATGGGAATCATGGAAATGCTAATATTAGTAGTAACAACAATAATAATAGTAATGTGGGATTAAATTGTGGGGGAGTTCTTGGTTCGGCTCTTGAGTTTAATTTTGCTAATTGTGGCGGTCAAGAAGCAAAAGCGCAATGATTAATTTTTAATTAATTTATTTCTCAGCTAATTTTAATTTAATTTGCTCATTATTATTTTTGACTAATGTTGTTTTAGTTAATATGCACTATTTATTACTTAGTTGATTAATTATCATTAAAGATAATACTAACAAAAGTTTTTGGTTTTATGTTTAGAGATATGGTGATAGAGAGGTTGAAACTCTGATGAATAATGTAAAAAGATCTTGAATTTTTTTTTTTTTTTAATGTTTTAATATTTGGATCGTATATGACTCATGAGTTGAAGATTTTTGAATGTAGTCATTATTATTATTGATTCGACGTGGTTACGTGATGATGAAAACATGGGTTTAACTTCGATATGAATATTGCTATCTAGTTTAGTTGTTACATACTGTGTACAGTGTACTCGATGCTGGATCAAATCTCGTCTATAAAACTGTGTTTAGAGGTGAGTTCGCTTATAACGCACTACATATTGTGTAGTTGATGTAGGATCAAATTCCAATTACAATATTGAACTTATTAGGACAATACTCGTACTAGTTATTATGCTTTATTTATGCGAATTCAATTAAGTTTCATAAAAATTGTACAGTACAGTTTTTTGGTGTCATTTTTGGACCGTCATGTCATCTAAGGAATCATGTCTCAACTAAATTATGAGTGAGTGAGTGACATTATGTAGATTTGTCTTTCTTTGTAGCTAGGTGTGAACTGTAATTTGGTAAAATACAACTGTACGCACAATTTTGCATCATAATTTTTGATACGTCATAAGAGGGGATAAAAAAACAAGTGCATAATTGCGGAGTATAATTTATAAGACTGCAATTCACAAAATGTCCAAGTTAAGTAATTAGATACGAATTATAATATAAAAGATACGGAGGACTTCGCATGTTTATTACGGACTTACGGAGTATTATTGTTACGGAGTTTTAATGAAAAGAGTGAAACTTTTCTTTTTAGGTAGAGATAGTAGTATTCTATTTCAAAATTCAAAACTAACAACCTTTTAAAATTCAAATATATGAAGTTATATATGAGCTCTTTCTTTTTTTTTTTTTTTTTTTAAAAAAAAACCTTATATGGAGTGATAAAAAAAAAAAAAATACTCGTCAATGTGTTTGTTTTACTTCCCTCGTCCAAAACGAACACACCAACTTATGTTATTTTGAGATGTTTGAAATGGTGGTTGTATATACTAAAATGGAAATAAATTGTAGTTGAATTTTCAAACATATTTCTATTTAAATGATAGATTGTGGCTAATTTCCAAATATGTTTCTATCTAAATAAAGTGGAGCAAGATAAAATACACGGCTATTATAATGTCAAAATTATTTTGTAACATGGATGAATATAATTTTGTTACTCCGTTTTTGAAATGTAAAATTTTTTCTTTTAAAAAAAATAATAATTAAATAATCAAATACTCCAACAATGCAAAACATTTTTTGTAATTAATACTCGTAAAAAATAGATCGAATTATCATAAACATATCACATGATAGTCCTCTCTTCAATAAATTTTCCTATTTTTTGTACTTACTGTTTTTATAATGTGTACATAGGATAAAGCATGATACTGTTGTGTTTAATTAATACCTTTTGAATTTAAGATTAATAATTTGAATACTTCTATAACACTAGTGTTTGGGTCCAATTTAGTCCAATTGGGCCTGGTCACTGAATGATCCAATTAAAAGCCCAAGGTTAAGGTTCAACTCTCCAAATGTGCTAAAGTCAAAAATCAACATCCTCAAAGCCATGTCAAGGTCAGTCAACGGCCCAATCAGCTTGGCCCAGCCCAACTGACTTCCGGGCCCAATCCGCCTCCTTCATTAGCCAAGGTATAAAAGCCAACAATTTGGTCAATTCTTGGTAAGACAAAAAAGCCTCAAGCAACTAAACTCTTGCACAGCTTTCTCTCTCTAATATACTGACTTAAGCATCGGAGGGGCCTTCCTCGGCGTCCCCCCCGAGGCTAGTTTACGTGTATTTGTTGTGCAGGAAACCCTCGGCTCCTGCGTCGTTCGGACCGAGACCAAGTTCCCTCAAGATAAAAGGATCTTCCGAGATTCGATTGTTTTCATCCGAAACAATTTGGCGCCGTCTGTGGGGAACGCTACTAAATTTCGCGTCAGTCATCAAACACTCCGGCAGTCGCCATGACTAAGAGTGGAAAGAGTTCCAAGAAGGCTAAGAAGGGAGGAGGCCAGATTACGGTGAGGGAACGCCAGCCGGTTTATCCCTCCCCGGAGCAAGCCTCTTCCGAATCGGAGGCCCCCATTTCTCCGGAAAGGGAAGCCTCAAGAGGTCCTAGCCTCCAGGAGGAGAACACCTCGCACCACACTCGGCAGCCGGGGCCATCCCCGAGACCGAGTGGCTCAGGTGCGAGGAACTCCCCGCCGCGCCATAGCGTGCAATCCAGGTCACATCCGCGGGAGACTCCTCCCTCCGGACCCTCCACCGAGGAAGTGGCCAGAGCAGTGGCCATCTGCATGGAGTTCCTTAAAGCTCAAGGGGCTCCAATCCAGATGCCTGATGATCACCAGCCGAGAAACCTGAAAAGGAGGATCGGTCAGGATGATGGTGGACAAGTTCCACCACATAGAGAGCTCGGCCAGAGGTGGCGAGGGGACACCCTAAACTCCGGTAAGGAGAGGAGGAGGAACCCTCAACCCTCTGACCACTCTGAAGCTCAGAATTCCATGGGGCCCTCCAAGGACCCGGAATTCGCCCGCCAAAGCGTTCACGAACGCTTGGGTTCGAGGGAGGTGAGTGTGCATAGCCGCCTCACCTTCCCAGAGGATACCGGACCCCACCCAACCTTGTCTCAGCCGGGGACGAAAACCACTTCCACCTCTGAGAGAGGAGGGAGCGAGGTCCCTGAGGCCGGGTACAAGGGGAAGGCGGTCATGGTTCCATCGAACTCGCCCTTCCAGAAGTGGATTCTGGAAGAGCATGTGCCAACGGTCAAAATCCCGGCACATATTACTTACGATGGTACCTCAGATCCTAAGGATCACATTGCCTCTTACGAGGGGCACATGTATCTGAACCCGAGGTCTGAGGCTACCTGGTGTAAATACTTTCCTACGACCCTCAAAGGTGTTGCCCAATCCTGGATCACCAAAGGGCTCAAGGAAGGCTCCATAACCGGTTGGAACGACCTCTCCAACAAGTTCAAGAGCAAATTCTCTACGGCCAACCGCCGAGAGAAGACCACTGCAGAGCTAATGAGTCTGCAGCAGGCGGAGGACGAGAGCCTCCGCGACTATCTGACTCACTTCAGCAACGAGTCATCCGGAATCACAAGCCTGGATCAAGGCCTGGCCGTGTTCGCGCTACGGAACGGCCTCCAAGCTGGAAAGTTCCTGGACTTCATGGTCATGCATCCCCCGCAGACCCTGGAGGAAGCCTTGGAAGCATCGGATAGGTTCATCCGAGCCGAGGAGTGGAACAGATCCAGGTCTCAGTCTCGTCCGAGAATTGAGAAGCCGAAAGGGCAGCAGCCCGAAGTCTCGGCGCAGAGGAAAGGGAAGGCTAAGGCCTCAGAACCGTCCTCTGCTGCCGAGCCGAAGAAGGAAAGACACTTTCCCTACACGGGAAGGTACGATTCATACACTCCACTCTCCCTTCCCCGTGCTAAGATTTTCAGCACGACGAAGGACGAGGGGAGATTCAAAAAACCTCGTCCGTTGCCTCCCTGGCATCAGACGAGGGGAAAGGACCAGTGGTGCGAGTTCCATGACTCACCCGGACATCGCACCGAGGACTGCGTCCAGCTGAAGGACCAGATTGAGGATCTGGTCCGCAAGGGGTACCTGAGCCAATACCTCGCGGACAGGCGCGAGGAGAAAAAAGCTGAAAAAGATTCTCGGCAGGACCTCAACTTCGCTCGGAAGAAGGATAAGGGACCTCAGGGCAAGGAGTCCCTCGACATCCTGGTTATTTCCGGGGGAATCTCGCGAGGCACAGCCAAACGCCAACTGAGGGGTCTAACCCATCAGATTCATCAGGCTGAGCTTCGGCAGTCCCAGTCACCGGCGCCGAACATCCTGTTCACAGCCGAAGACTGTGAGGGGGTGGTATACCCCCACGATGACCCACTAGTAATCATTCTGGGCATCGCCAACCGCAACGTTTGGCGGACCCTCGTCGACGGCGGTAGCGGGGCGAACATCCTCTTCCGAGGAGCGTTCGACCAGCTGAGGATGGGAGCCGAGCACCTGGCCCCCGCACCCTACCCGGTGTCTGGATTCAACGGCTCTTCCTCGTATCCTGACGGGAAGATTACACTTCCTGTCACCATCGGCGAAGGCCGAGCAGCTAGGAATATCATGGCCGAATTTTTGGTCGTAGATGCTCCATCTGCATACAACGTGATCATGGGGAGACCCCTCATTCACGGCATTCAAGGAGTCGTCTCCACGTATCATCAAATCATGATATACGTTTCAGACGAGGGACGCTCCGAGAAAATAAAGGGCAGTCAAAAAGAAGCCCGCCGATGCAATCACCTCAAGCCATCCACGTCTCGCCGAGGCGACCGTGGCGATGGGGAGGAAAAGCACCGGGACCGAAACGCCAAAAAGCCGAGAGGCTCAGACGTTTCGGCTAATGAAGCCCCAGACAACGAGAAATCTGATGGGGGCCAAAAGGCTGACTCCGCCTCAGAGCCGAACGACTCTGATGGCCAGCCGCGGTCAGGAAAGTCTGCTAATATTGATAGCAGGCCGGAATTCGAGGAATCCAACTCTAAGAGCATGGAGACGGATGACCTGACCGAGTCAATAGAACTGACCGTAGGAGATCCGAACAGATGTGTTAGCATCGGGTCGTCACTGGAGCCAAACACCCGTGCGGCACTCGTCCAACTCCTACGGGCCAGTGGAGACGTGTTCGCCTTCTCAGCCGCAGAAATGCCCGGGATTGATCCGGACTTCGTCTCCCATAGGCTTAATGTCGACCCCTCCAGTCGACCCATTAAGCAGAAAAAGCGGAACTACTCCGCCGAAAAGAACCAGAACATCGCAGCTGAGGTCGATAAGCTCCTAGATGCTGGGTTCATTGAACCCTGTCAGTATCCGGAGTGGCTGGCCAATGTTGTAATGGTTCAGAAGGCAAATGGTAACTGGAGGATGTGCGTTGACTTCACGGACCTGAATAGGGCATGTCCCAAGGACTCCTATCCGCTGCCGAGGATCGACCAACTGGTCGACTCGACAAGCGGGCATGCTCTGCTCAGTTTCATGGACGCATTCTCGGGATACCATCAGATCTTCA